TTAACAATTAATACGAGTGATACTATTAAGAGAGCATAGGGATACTGTTGGGGAAGAAAATATTTGTTGATAATTATGATGTCATAAATGACACAAAATAATAGTGAAATTTAGCCTCTGTTTCATTAAGCTAAAAAATTGAATTAAAGTTTATGTTAAAGTCAATAATTAATTTTATTCACATATTTAATGAGACCCACCGTTTTTAAACCATATATATTATCAATTTTTATTAAAATATACTAAAATATAATTGTCATCCAAATCTAACGGGTGCTTAATCTCATTTCATTTCCTTTGACTTAGACCAAAAAAAAAAAAAAAACACTTCCCCAATGATTAGCCTAAAAAAATATTTCAATCACCTCCTAATTAAAGTTTTCGACATATATCACCGTGTGGACATGTGCAAATAATCTAACATATATCACTTTTGTGGACCTGTACAATTGATCCAATATAATTCACTATGTCCATTGAAAATGAACACTATCATTAATCTAACATATAAATCATTAAATTAAAAATCTTATTTAAATAAGTAACTTACTAATGAAAATTTTCTTATTTAAAAAAAAAAACTTATTTACTTATAAGTGCTTGCTCTTTAATCTTTATAGCTGGGATTAGCTCAGCCAGACAAAGACAGGGTTTGTTCAGGGTACAATCATAAGGACCCAAGATGATATTTCTTGAAAATCTTTTAGGGTCCATGGAAAGGTTATATCAATTAATGATGTCATAAATTCGACACTTTATGTCAATTATGATGAGTAGTTGAATATTAGTGTTAGGGCCAAAAGTAGATAATTAATGATGTCATAATTTAAGCAAATTATTACCTACACTATAATTATTTTTCAATTATAACCAGTAGTGTTTTATTCATCGTCTGGTTGAGTTCTATGTTTGACTAAAAATGCATTTTGAAATAATAAATTGATAAATAATGTGTAGTTAAACAATAAGAATTTTTTTATTTGTGAGTAATATTATTTTATTGAAAAATATATTGTTATAAAAGAAGAGAGAGAAAAATGTAT